ATACACATATATTGTATGTTATACACGTATATATATAAGGAGCTATAATAATAAAGCACCATCAGGGAACCTCTACTAACAACCCGTTCTCGCAAATTTAATAAGTCAATATTGACTTATTAAATATGTGCATAGGTGACATACTTAACATAATAGATACCCTTAAAAAGATTCATAGAAAACACCGACCTTACCTAACCTACTTAGTATGTTAAGATAAGCATCTTATTGCTTCGTAATTACAATTATTACCTAACCTATAATAGGTATAGGTTAAGTAATAATTGTAATTACGAAGCAATAAGATGCTTATCTTAAGATACTAACAAGGTTAGGTAAGGTCGGTGTTTTCTATGAATCTTTTAAGGGTATCTATTATGTTTAGTATATCACCTATGCACGTAGTTAATAAGTCAATATTGACTTTACGAATTTGCGAGAACGGGTTGTAATTAAATGTTATCTGCTTGATGCGAACGTTACATTTGAATAGATAACATTTTAGTCAAACACAAAATCACCATTCTATTAACCTATAATCTGCTTTTATAATATATGTTTTACTTTTATTCACGCTAGTTTAATCGATAATATATTCAAATATTGATCTGCTATCGTAGCAATAGTTTAATATATAACTTGCTCTGCCTGGTGCTTAGAAAATGTGTTATCCCACCATGAATTATTAAAATGATAATTGCCACAAATTGAGGCATATATACATCTGGTTGTCAGTCTGTGTCAGCGAGTCTGCACTAGCGCACTTCCGCTCCCAATCGACAGCCTCGTCCTTCCTCAAGCTGCCACCAAAGAGAGAATGTGTCGTCGTCGGATACACAGGAGCCCACTAGGAGTGTGTGCTCCTGTGTATCCGACAGGAATTGGGAGTTTCACACAATTTCCAAAAATGGGAATTGTGTGAAACCCTGGTTCGGCTTCAGTAGAAGCCTCGGGAATCTTCGAGGGTGCAGTAGTAGTAGTAGAAGTACTCCAGGTTGCAATTCTTTTGACCATGTCGTGGTGTAGTCGTTTATAGAGCGTGCGTCTGGGAATACCCAGCGCATAGGTTCGAATCCTCCACATCTCGGCTCCTGCGGATTGTCTCAGGAACCACAGGAACGGGTGGAGGTCAAACAAAGAGTGGCTTGTGTCCCTCGAAGTGAATCAAAAAGTGGCTTGTGTCCCACGAAGTCAGGTATATTGGTCAGCAAAGTCAATGGTAAAACTGGTTTATCATGAAGCTAAAATATATCCAGAAACTTCGGGTAAGCTTGTATCCTCGTAGCCTGGTGGATAGCGCGCAGGACTCGTAATTCTGTGGCGCGGGTTCGATTCCCGCACGAGGCAGAAACAAATGGGCAAAGTTTCTTTCACCCTGAATGCCCCTGTTACCTAGCAGTAAATAGGTACCTGGGTGTTAGTCAGCTGTCACGGGCTGCTTCCTGTGGGTGGAGGCCTGGTCGAGGACCGGGCCGCGGGGACACTAAAAAGCCCCGAAATCATCTCAAGATAACCTCAAGAAGCTTTTCATTATTAATTAATCCCTTAGTGATTTATTTACTGAAAAGTTGCCATTTCCTCTTGCACAATAACTCAGGAAACATGCTCACACAAACATTCTATCTTTGAGTTTTTCTTAAAATATCTAAATAACGGAAAGCTGTCAGAGATGATGTATACAAATACTGTTGGTTTCTGAGAGAGTTCTTGCATGATTTCTCAACTGTTGGTCTGATGAGCTAGTAGACTTTCATCAACTGAGAGTGTCCATCTTCATAAATCTGCATGCATTAGAATATCTTGCTACGGCTGATCGCCGAGGAAGAATGACTTTGATCATTCAAAGTGATTGACTCGAGTGGGTGGAGTGCATGAAGAACCCACCCCAGTGGACCATTCACCCCTCTCCAGCGACCATCAGTGGACCACTCACCCCTCTCCAGCGACCAACAGTGGACCACTCACTCTCCTCTCCAGCAACCAACAGTGGACCACTCACCCCTCTCCAGCGACCATCAGTGGACCACTCACCCTCCTCTCCAGCGACCAACAGTGGACCACTCACCCCTCTCCAGCGACCATCAGTGGACCACTCACCCTCCTCTCCAGCACCCAACAGTGGACCACTCACCCCTCTCCAGCGACCAACAGTGGACCACTCACTCTCCTCTCCAGCGACCAACAGTGGACCACTCACCCCTCTCCAGCGACCATCAGTGGACCACTCACTCTCCTCTCCAGCGACCAACAGTGGACCACTCACTCTCCTCTCCAGCGACCAACAGTGGACCACTCACTCTCCTCTCCAGCGACCAACAGTGGACCACTCACCCCTCTCCAGCGACCAACAGTGGACCACTCACTCCTCTCCAGCGACCAACAGTGGACCACTCACCCCTCTCCAGCGACCAACAGTGGACCACTCACCCCTCTCCAGCGACCAACAGTGGACCACTCACCCTCCTCTCCAGCGACCAACAGTGGACCACTCACCCCTCTCCAGCGACCAACAGTGGACCACTCACCCCTCTCCAGCGACCAACAGTGGACCACTCACCCCTCTGCAGCGACCAACAGTGGACCACTCACCCCTCTCCAGCGACCAACAGTGGACCACTCACCCCTCTCCAGCGACCAACAGTGGACCATTCACTCTCCTCTCCGGCGACCAACAGTGGACCACTCACCCCTCTCCAGCGACCAACAGTGGACCACTCACTCCTTTCCAGCGACCAACAGTGGACCACTCACCCCTCTCCAACGCCCAACAGTGGACCTCTCTCACTCCTCTCCAGCGACCAACAGTGGACCACTCACCCTCCTCTCCAGCGACCAACAGTGGACCATTCACTCTCCTCTCCGGCGACCAACAGTGGACCACTCACCCCTCTCCAGCGACCAACAGTGGACCACTCACTCCTTTCCAGCGACCAACAGTGGACCACTCACCTCTCTCTAACGCCCAACAGTGGACCTCTCTCACTCCTCTCCAGCGACCAACAGTGGACCACTCACCCCTCTCCAACGCCCAACAGTGGACCTCTCTCACTCCTCTCCAGCGACCAACAGTGGACCACTCACTCCTCTCCAGCGACCAACAGTAGACCACTCACTCCTTTCCAGCGACCAACAGTGGACCACTCACCCCTCTCCAGCGACCAACAGTGGACCACTCACTCCTTTCCAGCGACCAACAGTGGACCACTCACCTCTCTCTAACGCCTAACAGTGGACCTCTCTCACTCCTCTCCAGCGACCAACAGTGGACCACTCACCCTCCTCTCCAGCGACCAACAGTGGACCACTCACCCCTCTCCAACGCCCAACAGTGGACCTCTCTCACTCCTCTCCAGCGACCAACAGTGGACCACTCACTCCTCTCCAGCGACCAACAGTGGACCACTCACTCCTTTCCAGCGACCAACAGTGGACCACTCACCCCTCTCCAGCGACCAACAGTGGACCACTCACTCCTTTCCAGCGACCAACAGTGGACCACTCACCTCTCTCTAACGCCCAACAGTGGACCTCTCTCACTCCTCTCCAGCGACCAACAGTGGACCACTCACCCTCCTCTCCAGCGACCAACAGTGGACCACTCACCTCTCTCTAACGCCCAACAGTGGACCACTCACCCTCCTCTCCAGCGACCAACAGTGGACCACTCACACTCCTCTCCAGCGACCAACAGTGGACCACTCACACTCCTCTCCAGCGACCAACAGTGGACCACTCACCCTGGAGAACACAGCACACACACACAGCAAGGGCGAGCAACCATACATCACGACATTTGTCTAGTGTACACCCTGCCACACCCGGGATAGATATACCACTGCCCTAATACTTCAAGATACGCCTCACCCGCCCTCATTTGTCATCCCTTCCTCCCCCTCCACAAAAATGGCCGTCCGCTCTTCAAAGGCAGTTGTCCCAATTACGGAGCATAATAGGGAAAGGGGAGTGGGGGGAGAGGCATTAATCCTACATAAGAAAAGGGAAAGGCATACTCGGAGCCGCGGCTCCTCGTAGCCTACAGCCGCACCTCCACACACTGTTGCCACAACATTGAACGGTCGGCTTTAATATTCCTTGTTGCAATTATTATGGATTGGCCTTGTTGGCGTTCGTGTTATCTCATAAATCAGCAGAGGCCGCTTAGTTGAGGAGGACGGGGGGGGGGGGGGAGAGGGGGGAGCGAGGGGGGGTGGGGGGGAGAGGAGCTAGGGGGTCATGGGGATGGGGGAGAGCATCTAGGGAGTGACGGGGATTTGGAGAGGAGCTAGTGGAAAGGGGAGAAGGTGCAGGTCAGACCATGAATCCCGGAACTCCACTCATTTGCCTGCCTGCTAACCCCCACGCTCCTAGCCCGGTTTCTAGCCTGACTCCTACCCCAGTTCCTAGCCCGGTTCCTAGCCCAGCTCCAAGCCTGACTCCCAGCCCGACTCCCAGCCCGGCTCGCGGCCTCCACATTAGAGACTCAGAGAGGCATTGAGGCGAGGCATGTACTTGATTCCCAGGATATGACCCCCGCTCGTATATTAGAGGTTTAATAGAGGATTGCGGGAGTTGATAGAGGTTTACACAGCTCTAGTGGAACAATAGCGAGCCATTCTTTAGCAGCGGACAAGGAAGATGGCGGTGGAGGGGCATAATACCTACCCCAGGGTAATTATTCAACATAATTCTCCAACGCGCTTTCTTGAGAAATGCCTTGTTTGACAACCCAAGTGTTAAATATTCAATTTTGCCTCGTAAATAAAACTAGCAGGGCCCCGGCTGTCTCGTTACCCGTCGGGTGGAACGGCCCGCAACGGAGGGTCATTTGCATGGTCCGGGGCCGCAGCGGAGGCCGGGTGTGAACACCTGGTCAATACTGACAACACAGGTCTGGTAATTAATAACAATACAGCTTGTTCGGGCCGGAGTATTAACATAAGCCCACCCTGACCACCGATTAAGATGAAAATGCGAACAATTCCGCGCTCGGAAAAGTGCCGTTAGCTCTGATTTGTGTCTACATTTCGTGGGGAGCTCTTCTGTATTCGCGCGGTGCGGCGGCCGCCGGCTGGTCGCAGGTCTGGACGCTGCGGTGTGGCGGCCGCCGGCTGGTCGCAGGTCTGGACGCTGCGGTGCGGCGGACGCCGGCTGGTCGCATGTCTGGACGCTGCGGTGCGGCGGCCGCCGGCTGGTCGCAGGTCTGGACGCTGCGGTGCGGCGGCCGCCGGCTGGTCGCAGGTCTGGACGCTGCGGTGCGGCGGCCGCCGGCTGGTCGCAGGTCTGGACGCTGCGGTGCGGCGGCCGCCGGCTGGTCGCAGGTCTGGACGCTGCGGTGCGACGGCCGCCGGCTGGTCGCAGGTCTGTACGCCGCGTTGCGACGGCCGCCGGCTGGTCGCAGGTTTGGACGCCGCGGTGCGACGGATGCCGGCTGGTCGCATGTCTGGACGCTGAGGTGCGGCGGCCGCCGGCTGGTCGCAGGTCTGGACGCTGCGGTGCGGCGGCCGCCGGCTGGTCGCAGGTCTGGACGCTGCGGTGCGGCGGCCGCCGGCTGGTCGCAGGTCTGGACGCTGCGGTGCGGCGGCCGCCGGCTGGTCGCAGGTCTGGACGCTGCGGTGCGACGGCCGCCGGCTGGTCGCAGGTCTGTACGCCGCGTTGCGACGGCCGCCGGCTGGTCGCAGGTTTGGACGCCGCGGTGCGACGGATGCCGGCTGGTCGCAGGTCTGGACGCCATCTACATAAGATGACAGCGTTGCATTCATCTAAATCAAGCAAAAGGTATTCCGACGCACTATAGAGATAACGTAGATCTAACGGCGTCTGGAGCTTGTCGCACACAGGCGGCAGTATACGCCGGGTATATCATACTCGCCGCTGGCTATACTCCGGGGCGCTCGTCCAGCAATGACGAAATAAGCAAGTGAATGGGTGAAGGGAAGGTGGGAGGGAGGGAGGGAGGGAGGGAGAGGATGGGAAGGAGGAAGAAAGTGGTACTTTGGTGTATATGTGATTGTGTATTGTGTCGGTGATACGTGGAAGGTGTTCCTGGGTGACACATAGTGTCCAGTGTGTGTACTCACCTATAGTTGTGCTTTCAGGGGAGGGGGTTGAGCTCTGGCGCTTTGGTCCCGCCTCTCAACTGAGGCGGGACTGTGTGCGTGTGTGTGTGTGTGGGTGCGTGTGTGTGAGTGCGTTTGTATGTGTGCGTGCGTGCGTGTGTGTGTGTGTGTGCGTGCGTGTGTACGTGAGTGTGTGTGTGTACTCACCTATTTGTGCTTGCGGGAGTTGAGCTTTGTCTCTTTGGTCCCGTCTCTCAACTGTCAATCAACTGGTGTGCAGATTCCCGAGCCTACTGGTCGTGCGTGCGTGCGTGTGCGTGTGTGCGAGCGTGCGTGTGTGTGTTCCGGCAGCAGGGGTCCCCTGGGCCAGACAGCGAGAGGGGCCCCGGGGGACAGACGGGCCCGGGGTAAATACCGGTACTGGCGGTAAGTAGTGATGTGTCAAGCCTTGACTGACACTCTCCGTGTTTACCTTACCGGTCCCGTGTCTCCGTGTCCCCGTGTCCCTGTGTCTCCGTGTCCCAGTGTCCCTGTGTCTCCGTGTCCCAGTGTCCCTGTGTCTCCGTGTCCCAGTGTCCCTGTGTCTCAGTGTCCCAGTGTCCCTGTGTCTCCGTGTCCCAGTGTCCCCCTCGTCTCCGTGTCCCAGTGTCCCCCTCGTCTCCGTGTCCCAGTGTCCCCCTCGTCTCCGTGTCCCAGTGTCCCTGTGTCTCCGTGTCCCAGTGTCCCTGTGTTTCCGTGTCCCTGTGTCCCTGTGTCTCCGTGTCCCAGTGTCCCTGTGTCTCCGTGTCCCAGTGTCCCCTCGTCTCCGTGTCCCAGTGTCCCCCTCGTCTCCGTGTCCCCGTGTCTCAGTGTCTCCATGTCTCAGTGTCCCAGTGTCTCCGTGTCCCCGTGTCTCCGTATCCCTGTGTCTCCGTGTCCTCGCGTCTCCGTGTCTCCGTGTCCCCATGTCTCCGTGTCCCAGTGTCTCCGTGTATTCACCTAGTTGTGCTTGCGGGGATTGAGCTCTGCTCTTTCTGCCCGCCTCACAACTGTCAATCAATCAACTGTTACTAAGTACCAACTATTTTTTTCCCCACACACACACACATCCCCAGGAAGCAGCTCCGTAACAGCTGTCTAACTCCCAGGTACCTATTTAATTTTAGGTAACAGGGGTATATCAGGGTGAAAGGAACTCTGCCCATTGGTTCTCGCCGGCGCCGGGAATCGAACCCTCTCACAGACATCGTTGTGACGCTCTCCTCTCACACAGACATCGTTGTGACGCTCTCCTCTCACACAGACATCGTTGTGACGCTCTCCTCTCACACAGACATCGTTGTGACGCTCTCCTCTCACACAGACATCGTTGTGACGCTCTCCTCTCACACAGACATCGTTGTGACGCTCTCCTCTCACACAGACATCGTTGTGACGCTCTCCTCTCACACAGACATCGTTGTGACGCTCTCCTCTCACACAGACATCGTTGTGACGCTCTCCTCTCACACAGACATCGTTGTGACGCTCTCCTCTCACACAGACATCGTTGTGACGCTCTCCTCTCACACAGACATCGTTGTGACGCTCTCCTCTCACACAGACATCGTTGTGACGCTCTCCTCTCACACAGACATCGTTGTGACGCTCTCCTCTCACACAGACATCGTTGTGACGCTCTCCTCTCACACAGACATCGTTGTGACGCTCTCCTCTCACACAGACATCGTTGTGACGCTCTCCTCTCACATAATATTATTTACCTGTCCATTCCTTTTTTTGCATGACTGGGCGCTCTTGTCCGCATGGACGAGCTCCGTGCCTGTCTACTCACCTAGATGTGGCTAGACAGACAGACAGACTTAAGGTCCACTATTCCAGCACTAGTAGTTTTATTGTGAAGGAGGAAATGTATATGTTTATCTCTCAGAATGTTTGGTAATATGTTTATTGGTTGTGATATGTGTCTATATATGTATGAACACGATGTACTGAACGGGGTGAGAATAGCTTGAGCTACCTCATCCCTTTGTGTGTATTTTACATCAATAAACTTATTTCAATTTCAACACTAGTAGTTATATGAGAATAGCTCTGCTCGCTTTTCTAATCATATTTAAAGTTGCGTATTTGGCTAATACATTCACTTAATGTTGAATTTTAGTCTGTAGACGTTCTTAGTGTGGTGTCTGTGAGACCACAGGTGTCTTGAGTCAATACACATGTCCTCCTGTTCTGCTGCTTCTCACTTTGGACATAATTCTCTATCTAATTAGTTCCTTTTCCTTCGGAATCTTGTATGTTATTATCATGTCTACACTGTTCCTCCTCTCCTCCACCGTGGTGAGATGTAGTTGTGTGTGTGTATCTTTATAGATGAGGAACAACCCTTGTTGTAGTGCTTTCTAGCTTTGTTTTGTGCTTCTTTAAATATAGGGGTTCCATGCCGGGGCAGCATATACTCAAGAATGGGTCTCGCACATGGTGTGTATAGCTACCAGAAGGCTCCTTTGTCCATGGTACATTGTTTTCATGGGTGAGTGTGGCGATAGTTTGGGCTACGTCGATAGGAGGCCTGGTCGAGGACCGGGCCGCGGGGACGCTAAGCCCCGTAATCATCTGAAGGTTCGTCTACTCTCACTTTCTCCCTCTCCTCTCATTAATTCTGTACTGAGCTGTTCTCACTACTTATCCTACTCTCATAAATGTTCTTGATTTTTCAGGGTTTATAGATCCAGTAGCCATCTGATATTGTTTCAGACGAATTCTAAATTATGTGTAATTCGTTTTGGGGTATATGCTAGTCTCCCTCTGCTTCTCCTCATCGGCTTGGCATCACGAGCGAGACAATTTCACATCAGGTTGTGTATTTTCTGAGAGATACGTCCTTAACCATCTCAATTTTCTTCCAGACAGAGGTTGCCTTCCCACTAACAGGCCAATCTCGGTGCTCGTGTCACTCCGAACAAGCAACAGTACGGAGCTAACATCTTGTAAGTGCAACCCGTTCTCGCAAATTTAATAAGTCAATATTGACTTATTAAATATGTGCATAGGTGACATACTTAACATAATAGATACCCTTAAAAAGATTCATAGAAAACACCGACCTTACCTAACCTTGTTAGTATCTTAAGATAAGCATCTTATAGCTTCGTAATTACAATTATTACCTAACCTATAATAGGTATAGGTTAAGTAATAATTGTAATTACGAAGCAATGAGATGGTTATCTTAAGATACTAACAAGGTTAGGTAAGGTCGGTGTTTTCTATGAATCTTTTTAAGGGTATCTATTATGTTTAGTATATCACCTATGCACGTAGTTAATAAGTCAATATTGACTTTACGAATTTGCGAGAACGGGTTGTCTTAAGATAACCATCTCATTGCTTCGTAATTACAATTATTACTTAACCTATACCTATTATAGGTTAGGTAATAATTGTAATTACGAAGCTATAAGAGCTTATCTTAAGATACTAACAAGGTTAGGTAAGGTCGGTGTTTTCTATGAATCTTTTTAAGGGTATCTATTATGTTAAGTATGTCACCTATGCACATATTTAATAAGTCAATATTGACTTATTAAATTTGCGAGAACGGGTTGCTTAAGATAACAACAAGGTTAGGTAAGGTCGGTGTTTTCTATGAATCTTTTTAAGGGTATCTATTATGTTTAGTATATCACCTATGCACGTAGTTAATAAGTCAATATTGACTTTACGAATTGCGGAGAACGGGTTGGTAAGTGAATGGTTAGCAACAGAGAGCGGAGACCTGTTACGTACATCCTCAATGCTAAAGATAATTGACCAGATAGTTATGAAATTACCACAAGATCCCGTCACTTGCGACAAAAATATATTTTTTATTATTATTATTTTCTACTACAGACGTGGCCACACATTTACAATGCTAACCAGCATATATATATATATATATATCGATATATATATATATATATATATATATATATATATCATATATATATACATTTTCTTCTGTCCTCCATGGACAGGGTGAGAGATCTGTTAAACATATAGTTCAGGGATTTATTGAACACTCAACCACAGAAGGTGATTGTATTTTTTAACATGCTAATATAACCTACAGACATAAATACATTGATACCCAGAGTTACGTCTGCCCTACATAAAGTGGTCGATGTGTGTTTTGCATGAATGTCATTAATGTGCATTTACAAAGGCGAAGTGTAATTCTGACCAGCTTCCACATATTCTTTATACACATATATATATATATATATATATATATATATATATATATATATATATATATATATATATATATATATATATATATAATATATATATATATAAATTATATATATATATATATATATATATATATATATATATATATATATATATATATATATATATATGTCGTACCTAGTAGCCAGAACTCACTTCTGAGCCTACTATGCAAAGCCCGATTTGCCTAATAAGCCAAGTTTTCATGAATTAATTGCTTTTCGACTACCTAACCTACCTAACCTAACCTAACCTAACTTTTTTGGCTACCTAACCTAACCTAACCTATAAAGATAGGTTAGGTTAGGTTAGGTAGGGTTGGTTAGGTTCGGTCATATATCTACGTAAATTTTAACTCCAATAAAAAAAAATTTACCTCATACATAATGAAATGGGTTGCTTTATCATTTCATAAGAAAAAAATTAGAGAAAATATATTAATTCAT